TACTTTTCTACAATGATCGATAGAATAAATATAGACTACAACTACAAAAATTTTATCTGTTCCCAACGTTTACAAAGAAACTAAGGCGGAGGGATCGTTTTGTCATTATACACGAACCATGTGTCAGTGAAACTTAAATTTGACATTCTCACTGTTATTCTCCTAATTATAGAAGAGTGTATGGTTTACTAGCTAGTTATCTCGTTTTTATATCTCATTTTGTATTTTTCTTTGAAAATAAATTTCAAACGACAAACAAAATTTAATTTGAGTCATAATGTTTTTTTTTTCAACTGGTAAATTATTATTGATAACCTCAAACTGAAGTACAGACGATAAAGCTCAATCCCGAAACGGAAGAGTCAACTGCTGAAAACCACAAATCAAAACACTAATCAAACGACTGATCAAAACGTTTACCCATGACTTTATTCCGAGACTAGAACAAAAGCTTGGGAGGCAATACCATTGAAAACGGAAAGCAAGAAGAGTCATCACAACGCGAGAAGGATCCGAGCCACTCCGAAGCTTCTACGGTGATATTCAACCCAATATCAGTGAGAAAAACTGTCGATATACACCACCGAAGAAGAATTATTCAGAAAGACAGAGAGCGAGGGTCCTTGGCCGTTGATCGGGGAAGACCTGCCCCAAGAACATCTTCATCATCACTACACCACCCCAAGCTTTATTCATCCTCAAAAATACAAGTCCATGGCCAAGAGGACATATCAAGTCCGAGCCGAGAAAAGCCTCAGAAGCTTCGAGGTATCCCTAGGAATCCGAAGCCGAGACCCCTGATAACCCTAACCTCCAGAAAAATCCAAAAACATAGTCTAGCTAACGACTTAAAGTCCACCTACACCATTCCTCTTAGCTATAACCAGTCGAACAAACTCGTCAACAACACAACTAACAACCAAACGAACCTTGATAACCATAAGGAGCTACACAAGACTAGCTTCACGATACACAGAAACATAAGCACAATCAACCTAGCCATCACCCTTAAAACACCCACACACAAGAGAGTACCCACAAGGGCTGAGATCTCAAAATCCGGCAACCCGTTTACGAAACCATAGAGATCGATCGGAAGGCTCAAGGGGTTCTTGTGAGTAGAAGGCCTGCATCATCCCGATCTATGGATACACCAACACCTTCACCGCAAGCCACCACCAAAAGTACCAACCAACCCGAACTATCACCGTAGTCACACCAACCGAAACAGATCTCGATCCACCGGAGGAGAAGCTCTCACCAAGGTCGAAACTATAACTAAAAACGAAAAAAGGAGGAAAGACGAAACACGGGGACCGACATCGGTGTTAATGGAGCCACCGACACCGATCCGATCTGAAATCGACGAGGGAGCTGCGGTGAAGAGAAAATCGCCTAGAGGCTTTCTCTCTCTGTATAGGGGAATGCAATAATATTTGTTATTAGTACTTTTTGTTTAAATAATATTGAGTCATAATGTTTAAAAACTCAAAAATTGTTTAATTTCATTCGTAAACTAAAAAAAACTCTATGACCGAGGATCAAATCCTCACCAAATCAGATCTTGACTCGAACCACAAATCCAATTTCCACTTTGTCATCTACTACTTTGAGCAATTTTTTCATGGATGGAGTGTAATTGATTTATGGAAAATTATGATGAATAACTAACAAAAAAAGAAAAAATTGGCGTATGACTATAATAAGTCTTGGCTATTGATATTTTGAATATTAATTACAATATATACAAAATTGTCCTTGATACATCTCAATCTCACACACGTATGTATTGAGTATACGAAAAACGCTTCAAGCTCTACGACGCAAACCAAACAATCTTCACCGCATTAAACACCACCGACATTACCGTCATCGTCAACATCTCAAAATCCAGTTCACTCTACGACGACTAGATCCGATCAAAATACTCTCGTTTTACCATCCACCACGATCCGTGACCTACTCGTCGGCTACGAGATCCTCTTTTCCTCAGATTCTGAGCTCAAATCGGCTCTTGTTCCGGCATATGTGCAGGGCAACGTGTTTTCTTAGAGTTGATGGTGAGGGCAAAATTGTCCAAAAAAATTTGTTTTGGTTACTTACCTTATTTGGCCAACACCATAGCTATTTTCTCTATATTTAATCCTTGGTCACGAATTGACCTTTGATTTATATAAACTAGTATTTTACAATTTTTTGTGTGACTGATCAAATTATTTTTATTATATATATTAAATGATACTTTTTATAAGAAAAATAGTTTTTTAATATTTGCATTTTTAGCTAAAACATTTTATATTTTAAAACGGAGAGAGTATTATTTAAGGTAGTACGTATTTTTTTAGTCAGAGATTAAAAAAGAATTTTTCATTTATTTTGTAATTTTAAGAGAGTAGGTATTTTATAATAGAGACTCCTAAAACTTTTACTTAAGATGATC